TCTCTATATATAGCTTCCCTCCTTTCACTTCGCACTCTCTATATAGAGCTTACCTCCTTTCACTTCCCACTCTCTCTATATATACATATGCCTCCCTCGTCCCCGCTTGTTTGCCCGAGTCTTTCTTCACACTCTCTATATATAGCTTCACTCCATTCACTTCCCACTCTCTATATATTGCTTCTTCTCGCTTGTAGGTTGTCCACGGTTTCTGTTCCTGACTCCTATCTTAGTCTATCTTTAATATACTCCTGCCTTAGCCTATATTTATTATACTCGTGTCTTAGCCTATCGTTTAATATCTCCTCACTGACCACCACAGAAGGAAATGCAGCTGCCCAGGCTAGTGCCAGCCGGGTTTATGTTTGTTTGGATCGAGAAAGAACACACTCCGGGACTGTTTGGTATGTACTCGCCTGGCCTCTCGCCTGTCTGATCACTAATTCAATCATATTGTAAGGACGCACATCCGTAGATGTCAACATACATTGAATGTTGGATGGATCCTTGTGCATAGGCGAGTTGACTTGGCAGATACCAGCCCTATCTGCTTGCTTAGTTAAGTATTTTGTTGTTTGCCAGATGTTTTGCCTTTCGAATTGAGAAACGAGACACACATAGTCCACGTGATGTTCGCTAGTTTTTTACATTCACGGTTACTTTTGTACAATCTCGGGTAGGTTTTGTTTGTTGCAACGCATCAGTGTTGCCGCACTTGTAGTAGAGATTAAATGTCTCAATACCATGAACGTACTTATCTATGTCGAATGAACTTCCAATGGTACTGTGGTGAATAACACAACAGCCATGAGCGTTCCTATCTATGTTCAGTGAAGTGCTGCATCTAAATCCTCGCCTGTGTACTATCTCTTCCCCCTAAGACTTCTTTCACCAGATTCACGCAGTAGCAAAACCCCGGATGTGCCCATAACACACACGCCTCCGTCGCAAGCACATCTACATCCGTGTGTATATGTACAATCATTTCCAGCCTTCAAAGATATACCTACACGGACTCTGTTGTCCTTCACAGATATACCTACACGTACTCTGTTGTCCTTCACAAATATACCTACACGTACGCTGTTGTCCTTCACATATATACCTACACGTACTCTGTTGTCCTTCACAGCGCTCATGGCGGACTGGGGCTTGACGTATGTGGAGAACCTGTGTGTGCGCGAGAGAGGCGTCAACGGCAAACCCAACGGCCAGGAGGGACGGTTCATGAAGCGTGCAAAGAGTACTTGTTATATTTTTAGAAAGGTAGGTACGTGTCTTCATGCTTTCTGTTTTCGGATGTTCCGCGAAACGCTACTGGCTTTTCAGGGCGGGCGCTTATATAGAATCGTTTGACTGATATTGTGTGTTTGTGCAGATGTGTGCCCTCATTTTGTTACTATAGCTCCTGTCATGAGGTCATCTGATCGAACTAAGCAGTTGTGCAGCTATTGCATA